GAATTAAACATTAATAATTAAGTTTTGGAATAAAATATTCAGACTTTCCTGGGTACATAAAAACCTAAAGGTGGTGGATAAACCACATGATATTATTATCAGATTAAAAACCTTTCTCAAAAAAAAAAAAGCATTTCAGTATGACAAAATTCTATATACATTTGTAGAACGTAGTATATATACTATGAATTCAAAATAAATGTAAAGTATTTTAAAACAAAATTGTGTAAAGTAAATCTGTCCGATTTACGAAGATCTGGAAATCCCAAACCATGTCCTCCCTCAAGAGTGTCACACTGACGGGTGAATAGAGCGCCCCGTGAGGGATCTTTGTTTAGGTGCAGCCTGAAGATGCACGTGATAAAGTGAAACTGTACTTTCAAGTAAGGGTAGTAATCGCCTTTCATCATTGTTTAACCTCGAGGGAAAGTCCATGATGCGTACGCCTCCTATTGACGGTTTCCATTTCACAGCGTGATGAAATACTCTGAATAAACATGCCATGTGTAAGGCAGACAAACATCGGCACGGCACAAAAAAGTCCGGTTTTGTTGATTAATTAATAGTGGCAATAATTTGTTAATTAAATTGGAGAGACCGGAGTTAGTAGGCTCTCTATCTCAGTAACTGTGCAACACAAAATAAAATAAAATACAAATATTAATTTGAGAATTTTATTTATTTTCCAAACTAAAACTTCAATTTTTTTTGACGTTGTTGGGTTACAAGTGATTGCTTGTTAACATTATTAAACCGTACATTTAAGGATAAGGGTTTTTTTTTTCTTTCAGTGTTTGGCCAGGGCAAGTTGTCACCTTTTTAAATGTTTAAATTTTATACACTTTATTAATTACAGTATTCACTGACTAAAACAATGGTTTGATATTTTATATTTCTTTGTAGATACCAGCAAACAGTATCAATAAAGAAATTCCTTGAGTATCTTCACAGTCAACCCTATTGATTCCTGTCTGAAAATAATTGCCACAAGGGGGCAAAATGGATGTAGTGAGTGGACATGAGTAGTTGGCAGTTTAGCCTAAGAGTAATTGAAATGTGGTTACAGATTATTAGGAAAGGCAACGGAGAGGCAAGAAGTATGCCATGTAATAGGCTTACTTAATTTATTGATTGTTTCCAAGACATACTGTAAAAAAAAAATGTAAAAAAATAAAAAATTTTTGAGAGTTTTATCTCTCACGCACTTTCAAAGTTTTAAAGGGTTGAATAATCAATGGGGAATTTCTAAACGAGAAATATCATAACAAGGATTGTGAGATGGAGGAACAGTGATGGTGCACAGCATTGCACACAGCTGTCATACGACATTCCAGAGCTGCTTGTGAGGAGATGCTTGTTGATGCTAGGTGTCCAATAAGACACAGACTTGACTCCATTAAGAGCACAGCTGCTTTGCCATTTTCGGTCAAAGCACATTCCAAATGAGCAGAAATTGTGTCCACTTCCCAGTAGCAAACTCTTCTACATGTTGCTACTGTTAATAGTTTAGCTTAGTAGCCTATATTAAGATCTGGTTTCACAGACAGGGTTTAGATTAAGCCAGGATTAGGCCATAGTTCAATTAGGACATTTAAGTAGTTTTTATAAATGTGCCTTTGAAAAAAACATTACTGGTGTACATCCTGAGACAAAACAATGACACTGACATATTTTAAGATATGCAGTGCACGTTTCTTTCAGTTAAATCAGCTCAGACATGCAATTTAATCTTGCTTTAAGGCTTAAGACTTGTTTGTGAAACTGGGGGAAAATGTATAAAAAGTATCACCCAAAAATCTAATAAACAAACAAAAAATGTTAATTTAATTAACCCACATGTCATTCCAAGTCTATATGACTTTCTTTTTTTCTGTGTAACATAAAATAAGACATTTTAAAGAATGTTTCAAATGCTTTTGTATATACAATCAAGTCAAAAAGATCCAAAGCAACACTGGGTTTCACAGATTTTCCTTTTATTAATCCCTTTAATGCATTTAATTACAGTATTGCTTGAAATGCTGGTCTATTTTGTACTGACAAGGTGTGGTTGACTTAACGATAACGGGGGAAAAACACATTTCAAAGAAGTTAGAAAACATACTTGATCCAGTCTATATTGCAAGTATATGTGATATAAAATGTAAAAAAACAGCTATTATAATTAATCAGACAAAGTTGTATGATACAAATGTCTTGCAAGCAAAAACGTGTTAAATAAGTCAAGTCAAGTCACCTTTATTTGTATAGTGCTTTATACAATATACTGATTGTGTCAAAGCAGCTTTACAGTGTCAAACAGGAAAATAGTTTGTCAATAATGCAAGAAGACAATGACAGCGTCATTTTTTCCTAATAAAGTCAGTTCATTGATGATTCAGTGCTGTCATCCTCCAGTTCAGCTCTCTTCCAATAGTGTCAGTGCAATCAGTCAAGGGTCCCCAACTAAGCAAGCCAAAAGGCGACAGTGGCAATAAGACTGTGCTCAGGCCAAACTCCAAATACTACATTCACATACTATTCCTTATACTTCAAGTCAGAATCCTACTGTACCACCTAAACATGGCAATGAAGCTGCAAAGTCTCATTAAGGATATCTACAAATCACTTTTTGTGGGGGGGATATAAACAGTTTTCTTCCTCTGGCCTTTCCCCCATCTGAGGGGTCTTCCACCATACACTCAAGGACAAAGACATTTGCATGCAACATACACTGTATTTGTCTGCAGCAGACTGTATTTTGTGTGATTTCCCAGACCACACCTTCAGAGGGGTCATTTCTTCCCTTACATGCCTCTGAGTGCAGTGGACTGCCAAGACTTTTCTAATTTACAGAACAGTTCCTTTTTTGGTGCGACAAGGCTGCGCGTACTGCTGAAGGGGAAGGGGAAAGCAAGCTCTTGTCTTGAATGTGGACAGCTGAGCAGAAAATGGCCTAAAAAGAGACAGACGCATTCTGCGAGATTGTTTACTTGAGGTTAATCGCGAATCTTCCCAGGAATGTATCTGAAAAGAACGAAAACAAAGCCCAAACATACTTAAAGGGACCTGGTGTGACTAGTTAGGTGTGTTTTGCATCACAGGCTGCTTTCCTTTCTCTAAGCTATTATTGTAATTATATATTCTATGTATCTGTGTAAATTTTCCATTTAAATTGAATACTTTTGCTGACTGTTGTTTAATTAGAAGCATTCCATGGAGTTTTTCCATTGTATGCTTGAGCCAGAATGTCGTGTGATCCCAGGACAGATACTAGAAACTTGGAAAGAAATGAAATAACTGAAACTGTGGTAGTTATTAGTGTCTTAGAAACAAAACTTCCTTAAATCTCTAATGATATATTACTTAATGACTGTATTTTTAGCATTTCAGAAGTCAACAGGCAAGGCAACCGGTTGGTTGATAATGCAAGATGTTATTCTTCATACCTCAGCTTAGATTTGTAATATCTTTGTTGATTTACTTCCTTCTATGACTTGAAAATATGGTTCAGTACACTGTAATAAAAGATAAAAAGATTAAACAATTTTTCAAAGTTGTAAATAAAACAAAGATTACTGGAAGATTATCAGAATTTCATGTTTAATTCAATGTGTTACTTGCCATTTCTTTGTAATTAATTGTGCAATTTACTACCAGTTTCTGAGTGAAAATTGCTTCTACACCTTTCTACACCCACATCTTTTTTTAGTGTAGTGGTCAAGCAAGTATTGTAGGTCCAAACACTTCTCAGGCTGAATATTTTGTCAGCATTCATTCTCCAGAAGATGATGAATCAAAATCAAAATCAAAAAGCAGACCATGAAAGAGCTGTTATTATTCTTTACATAACCTTTACGTATTCTTTATCACATAATCATATTACCTGTGATTTCTTCTTCTGTCATTAAACACTACATATTTGTTAAGAAAAAATGAAGATTTTCTCTACATAGGACTTTTTAGCACTGTCATTGTCATGCTTTAGTTTACTGTAATATGCTCTCCCTATTGTTTTCTCTCAGAATGGGCTTTTTTTTATGTTTTGCACAACCCCACAGAAAATCATTTTAAAAGACTTGTTATCACAGCTGAAGCTTGTCAATTGGTGCCACACAGGAAATTCATGTTAGCCTTTTTAAATCTAGCTATTCTAGCCTTATATAGTGTTTTAAAATGTGCTTCAGTGGCCCAAAACCTTTATACACAGAGAAATATATACTGTTCAAAAGTATGACAGGTTTTTGTTTTGTTTGTTTGTTTTTTTTGAAAGAAAGAAATTAATATTTCTATTCAGGAAGGATGCACTAAACTGATCAAAAGTTACAGCAAAAACATTTATAATGTTACGAAACATTTCTATTTTAAATAATGCTGTACTTTGAATTTTCTATTCATCAATATATCACTGTTTCCACAAAATATTGATCAACAACGATCAACAATGATTTTCATCATTGACAATATCAAGAAATGTCAGCTTCGCTATCAAATGAACAAAATACATTTGAAAATATATTAAAATAGATGGCTGAGCACGGGTTTCTTTCAAAAACTTGACCAAATCTTACAGACCCCAAACTTCTCAACAAAAAATATGCCTAACCCAAAATGTGCTTGATGTTTTAACATTTCATTTAATTTAATTGATTTTATTCTCATCAAACATATTATTTTATCATCACTGAATCAAACCAAGTATGTAAAAAACAAATGCAACTAAATTACATTTTTATTTATTAATAAATAATATAATAATAATAATATTAATATATAATTATTTTATAAATATTAATAAATAAATAAATTAGTAATAAGTATTAAATCAGGTAAAATAGCTTATCATTAAGGTAATTGTTGCAGGTTAGCACTTTTTGTGGTGTTTTTGCTACGTGGTAGTTTGAATTTTCACACTGTCAAGTGCTTTTAGTGTGTGACCTAAACCCTAATGATGACACGATCTAAATTCACTTTGCTGTTCTTTCTCAGTTTCAGGCGTGGGCCAGGATATGTGTCTGTGTAGTAGAGCAGGGCCCAGCACTGTGTTTATGTTCCTGCATAGTGAGGTCCCCAAAATTTCCAAGGAGAAAAAAAGGAAAAGGGCCACTGGAATGCCCTGAGTGATGAGGCAGGAGGCCGCCCTGCTGCTGCCCGGATTGGAGTGTTTTCTCCCAGTCATCCCTATAAGGCTTTAGTGGAGTGAGGCTACCGATCTGAGTGCAGCCCAGGCTCCTTGTTTGGGATGTGGGAGGGTGCGGTGAGCAGGGATGGGAACTACATAAGTACACCACAAGCCAGTGAGTGGTACACCATCACCAAGTGGCTAAATTCCCCCCGGCCCAGCACTGTCAGGGTAAGTGTCATTCATGTCGCCTCACACCCTCTCTCTTTTTGTCTCTCACTCTCCATCTCTTTCTGTCCATCCAGCTTTGTACTTTGCAAGCATTACCTGATGCTGATAGACTCAAATGAGGTTTTGTCAAGCTTGAACTTGAAACATGCTGTTGTTTAGAGAAAAGGTTTCTGTACAGGTCTAAGCTTCTTTCACAAAGTTTTGGTTGGTTAGAGTGTTTTGTGAAGTGTTTTTTAGATTCATCTTAATTTAAGTGAAATATTATTGTATGATGTTTTTTCAATGATGTTTCTAAGGATTATCCTTGGAAGTGTTTTTAAAAGTACAGTAGATATATTTTCTTTTTGCAGATTTACCAAAGGATATTACTGAAAGCATTTATGTTTATGAGGAACTAATATGCACATACATGTCTGATGCATCTATTTTTTAGCATCTGTAATTGTATTATTGTATGATGATGCTGATTGTTAAGGGCTCTGAGTTTGTAAATGAAGGTGAGGACCTGGAAATTAGGACGGCTGTGGAAGCCCATTTGATTTGTGAGGTTTATGACTAAATATGGTTCTTCTGGACCACTGACCCATCCCTTCTTTTCCTCACCCACTCTCTTTTTTCATAAAGTATTGTAGACAGGCAGAGACAGAGGGAGGGAGAGTCCAAAGACAGACATGCTTCCCCATCATTTCCAAATTAGGAAGTTTTCCCATGGTGCACTCAGTAAGGGCTCCAGGATGGATTTAAAGAAGATGTGTGTGTTGTGTGTGTGTGTGTGTGTTACACACATATAACAAGGATTTTGGAAATTGCCATCTTTGTGGGGACATTTTATTTCCCATAACATACATCTAAACTACACACACATTTACACAAGTTTCATCAAAGCAAACTTTAAACAATATTTGAAACGAATTCTGTTTCCTTATTGCTTACCAAAAAAGGAGCATGAATTAGTTTATGAATGGACTTACCTGGTATACCTTACATTCTTTGTAGTATTCCTATTCATGGTTCAGTGGGTGTGCACACAAACTCCCACACGTATGCGGTTATTTCCCATGACATATATAACATTGACTTTTGTTTTTATATTAAGCAAATTATAATTATAACCCTACCCTAAAAAGAAACCTTTTGCATTTTTAGAATAACATGTATTTTTATTTTATTTAGAAATAATTTTTCCATTTTAGGAAAGATCCAAAATGTCTCTAAAAGGGGATTTAGCTTACTTCTGGGATCCATCCCCCAAAAGTATATATACAGCATTAAAAATGAACTTTCTTGCAGTGATTGTCTCCTGTAGGAGTAAGGAAGGAAATTCGAGCTGAAAATGTGTGACGGCGAGGAAAGCACTGCCCTTGTGTGTGACAATGGATCAGGACTGTGTAAGGCAGGCTTCGCTGGGGATGATGCTCCCAGAGCAGTGTTCCCCTCCATAGTGGGTCGTCCCAGACACCAGGTGTGTGACCCTCAACACACCACTAGGGGCCGATAAGCACTGCAGTCATTCGCAGCCAGCATCAATGAGTTTATTTTAGGAAAAAAAAATATATATATATATATATATATAACAACAACATAAAATGCTGTATTTTAGCTTGTATTTGAGGGTAGTTATAGCTTATTGTGCACTTTAAGTTGAAGTGGGTGACAACTAACAGTCATGTAATGCTCTGCACATTTTACTTATTTATCTTGATCTGATTCCAATGCTTTGTGGAAAGTTGGACTACAGCCCAGAGTGTCTGCATTGTACAAGATTGTAAAGATAGAATTAACTAGAACTCACTCTTACTTTTATGGGGGTGGTCTATTTCGTATGACTGTGTTAACCGTTGTTTACTTTTTTCTTAGGGAGTAATGGTGGGAATGGGGCAGAAAGATAGTTACGTTGGTGATGAGGCGCAAAGCAAAAGGGGAATCCTAACCCTCAAGTATCCTATCGAGCACGGCATCATCACAAACTGGGATGACATGGAAAAAGTAAGTAGATCCTATCAAACAAGCCTACAGACAACAAACCTAAACAATATGATTGCAAATAAGGAGTAGCTCTAAACAGTCTACCAAAAATATCTCTTATCTTTCCATGAGCATGCCTTATTGTACTTCAGGCTTAAATTTATCCTCTGTTCTTTCCATAATTCTGTGCTACATTTCCATATTACATACAATTTGCTGTAATGGCCCTCAAGATCTTTTGTCAGATCACACCTACATCTCCTATAGTTTCGACACATACATTCTCTACACCTACGTCCATCAAAAGCATTTTTCCACATAACTCCAGCTATTCCCACTGATGACTCACTGTGACAATATCTCTCATGTCCCACATTTCGCACCTCGTGGTGTTAACAACACATGTACACAACAGATGGTATTATTCACTAATCTATCTCAGCCCACGCGGTACCTCCTGATTGTGATCTGTTTGTTAAACTGCAATTATGAGAATCAGCTTTCTCAAGAACACAAAGTGATTCATTTGCCCATCTATTATCCTAAAAGTGCATTTCATGTGACAGTCATTTGTTCATTAATGTCCATTGTTTGTGCTCACCAGATCTGGCATCACTCTTTCTACAACGAGCTCCGTGTGGCTCCAGAGGAGCACCCCACTCTACTGACAGAGGCCCCTCTCAATCCCAAAGCCAACAGGGAAAAGATGACCCAGGTTAGAGCTGAATTCACGGGTGAATGAAAAAGCTGATAACGATCTGTAGTTTATAAAACTGACAAGAATTTGCTTCAACTCCAGCTTACCTCCTCTAAGCCTTTAAGGTCTTGAGATGTTATCAGATACGCCTACAGTAATTTCAGTAACAGTGAATTCACTTGTGTGCGGTGTTTGGTTCTAAGTTATGCAGAAAGCACATAACAATAAACTGTGGAGTTGATTAATATTATCTTGCATGACATAAATCATACACTGTCAAACCGCAAATGTTGAATGTAAGTGATTTTTTAACTGCTACGATTATCAGTAGTAAAAATAAAATACTTTGGTAGTAGAAGAAAATTCCCCCACGGCGGCTTCAAAATGCATGTTTGAGGTATATCTATGTGTAATTTATGTTGTAGAACAAAATATGAAAGTTCATTTTAAATTAAAAAAATTGCTATTCTAAAAAAATTCCTAGGCAATTCCAAAGAGCACAAAATGATAATTCAATGTCACATGATTCTTTAAAAATCATTGTAATTTGCTGTAATTTGAATTGGTGCTCAAGAAACATTTTTACTTATTATTAAATGTTGATAACAGATGATACGTTTTTTCATGATTCTTTGATGACTATAACTTTCAAAGGAACAGAATTTATTTTGTAACATTGTAAATGTCTCTTCTTTCACTTCTGAATAATTTAATGTGTCCTTGTTGAATAGTATTTAAAAAAGGACAGTATTTATAACGTGTTCTGATTGCTTCAAACTGGCAACTTGTCTATTCGAAACTGATCATCAACAGAATTCATAAGAGTAATTTGTTTAGGGAAACAGTTACACTGGTTGTGCTGTATGTTTTAGATTAACTAAAAATAACGACTAATTTGTTTGTAATTCAGATTAGACTGGTCACGTTGTATGTTTGTTTTTGCATGCAGCCAGTGATGACAATTCTATAAAAAGACACATTTACAGTATACACATAGAGTGATCTGCAGTTTAAGAGTCAATTTCTTGGCATTGTCAAAGAGAAGATTAATCAGAAATCAATATTTTAACCTACTGTTCAGTAAAACCCGAAAGCACTTGGTTGATTGTTGGTTCTGTTCATAAACACAGTGCTGGTCTCACTTTGCAGATCATGTTTGAGACCTTCAATGTTCCAGCCATGTATGTAGCTATCCAAGCGGTGCTCTCCCTCTATGCTTCTGGTCGTACAACAGGTCAGTTCACCTGTCAAACAGGTCATAGCTCACATTTGACTTACAATGCTACACATTACCAAGCACTTTATTCTTGTCGAACAGGCATTGTCCTTGACTCTGGTGATGGTGTCACCCACAATGTGCCCATTTACGAGGGCTACGCTCTTCCGCATGCCATTATGCGCTTGGACTTGGCCGGCCGTGATCTCACTGACTACCTCATGAAGATCCTAACTGAACGAGGCTACTCATTCGTCACCACTGGTGAGTCTGGACACGTACAGTACCAGCATAATGATATGAAATATAAAAAAAAATGTTTACGCTTATATTTTGAATATAACAAGAAACAATTGCCAATGGGAATAAGAAAAAATAACTTAAATTAAAATGTGTTCTGATTAGTATCATTTGAATGTTTCAGTTGAACTAATTACTATTTTAGAATATAGATTTAAAAATGTTGTTTTACCAAGTCTTTCTCATTTGCCTTGTATAGCTGAAAGAGAAATCGTCCGAGACATCAAGGAGAAGTTGTGCTATGTGGCGCTGGACTTTGAGAATGAGATGGCCACTGCAGCCTCTTCCTCCTCTCTGGAGAAGAGCTATGAGCTTCCCGATGGACAGGTCATCACCATTGGCAATGAGAGGTTCCGCTGCCCTGAGACACTCTTCCAGCCATCCTTTATTGGTGATATCTCGCTTCTCTTTCTTCCCCTCTCTTTACAAATGATGGATTCAGAGCACTTTGATATAAATGTTTAAATGCATTGATTTGCGCTTTGTTAGGAATGGAATCTGCTGGTATCCATGAAACCACTTACAACAGCATCATGAAATGCGACATTGACATCCGTAAGGACCTGTACGCCAACAACGTGCTGTCTGGTGGTACCACCATGTACCCTGGTATTGCAGACAGGATGCAGAAGGAGATCACTGCTTTGGCCCCCAGCACCATGAAGATCAAGGTCAGCATATGCCAAAGATCAGATTAGATCATTAATTTTTCATACGTTTTCCAATTAATCACAGTTTCTGGTCTAACCGGGGTTATTGTTAACTAAACTAAAAGTCAAGTCACCTTTATTTTTACAGCGCTTTATACAACAAATACTGTTTTAAAGCAGCCTTACAGTAATAAACAGGAAAATAACAGAATCAATGCAAACTTCTTCAAATATGAGACAAATTAAAATTCTGCTGCCAAGGAGCTCTAAAAACGACATTATTCAGTTCAATTCAATAACTGTAAAGTTTATTAATTATGAAACAAGTTCACTTCAGCTACAAGCAGCTCTAGAGAAGTCCACAATGTGGTTATCATCTTAGCACAGTGTTATTCAATCAGCTCAGTGTTGATTTAATTCAGTTTCAATAACAGTCTTGAAATGGATACATTATTAAACAAATTCGATTAATCTATTCAAACTGGTTTAAAAAATATTTAACATTAAAACATTAACTGAAATCAAAAACCTATTTCAGCTAGTTGCCAAAGCAACTATATACATAAAATATAGACATAAAAAAAAAATCAAAAACACAACAAAATCAGTAAAATTTAAACGAAAGGGTAAAAGTAAAAACAAATTCAACATATTAACTATATCATCAGTACTAAAATACCCCTGCTTCTACCTTGTATGTACTCAGATCATCGCCCCACCTGAGCGCAAATACTCAGTATGGATTGGCGGCTCCATCCTAGCCTCCCTCTCCACCTTCCAGCAGATGTGGATAAGCAAGCAAGAGTATGACGAGGCCGGGCCATCCATTGTGCATCGCAAGTGCTTCTAAACGAAAACTCCGACTCCCTCCTGTTCCCCTAATTCTATTATTGCTTCATAGCCTGTAAACTGTGAATGTACCCTTTACTTCCCTCTATTGTTTTGTCTTTGCACTGCCCACATGTTTTAATGTTTTGATTTAATTATGTCATGACAATATCGTGTTGTTTTAAATGGGTTCAAAAGCTTGATTGTGCTGCCTGTTTGAAAGATTGGGGAGATTCCTTTGAGTGGCGAGACTCCAGAGATGAGAAGAGGGCATTGAGGAACAGGGCTCATTCTCCCTTTTGTGTTCAAATAAGGTCAGCATATGCCAAAGATCAGATTAGATCATTAATTTTTCATACGTTTTCCAATTAATCACAGTTTCTGGTCTAACCGGGGTTATTGTTAACTAAACTAAAAGTCAAGTCACCTTTATTTTTACAGCGCTTTATACAACAAATACTGTTTTAAAGCAGCCTTACAGTAATAAACAGGAAAATAACAGAATCAATGCAAACTTCTTCAAATATGAGACAAATTAAAATTCTGCTGCCAAGGAGCTCTAAAAACGACATTATTCAGTTCAATTCAATAACTGTAAAGTTTATTAATTATGAAACAAGTTCACTTCAGCTACAAGCAGCTCTAGAGAAGTCCACAATGTGGTTATCATCTTAGCACAGTGTTATTCAATCAGCTCAGTGTTGATTTAATTCAGTTTCAATAACAGTCTTGAAATGGATACATTATTAAACAAATTCGATTAATCTATTCAAACTGGTTTAAAAAATATTTAACATTAAAACATTAACTGAAATCAAAAACCTATTTCAGCTAGTTGCCAAAGCAACTATATACATAAAATATAGACATAAAAAAAAAATCAAAAACACAACAAAATCAGTAAAATTTAAACGAAAGGGTAAAAGTAAAAACAAATTCAACATATTAACTATATCATCAGTACTAAAATACCCCTGCTTCTACCTTGTATGTACTCAGATCATCGCCCCACCTGAGCGCAAATACTCAGTATGGATTGGCGGCTCCATCCTAGCCTCCCTCTCCACCTTCCAGCAGATGTGGATAAGCAAGCAAGAGTATGACGAGGCCGGGCCATCCATTGTGCATCGCAAGTGCTTCTAAACGAAAACTCCGACTCCCTCCTGTTCCCCTAATTCTATTATTGCTTCATAGCCTGTAAACTGTGAATGTACCCTTTACTTCCCTCTATTGTTTTGTCTTTGCACTGCCCACATGTTTTAATGTTTTGATTTAATTATGTCATGACAATATCGTGTTGTTTTAAATGGGTTCAAAAGCTTGATTGTGCTGCCTGTTTGAAAGATTGGGGAGATTCCTTTGAGTGGCGAGACTCCAGAGATGAGAAGAGGGCATTGAGGAACAGGGCTCATTCTCCCTTTTGTGTTAAAATGCTACGGGGTAACACAACTGCATGTCGGCTTTCAGGCAGTCTGTTTGGATATCATATGATAACTCCATGAAGGAATAAAGCTCTGCAATAATAACCTGTATTTCACCTCTTTTGTTTCTGCAACAAATTCCACAGCACATGATTAATATTGGCACATACTAATTAAAACAGGTCTAAATTATATTCTTAAAATTTGTCATTTTAATACATAGAAATAATTCTATATACTCACTGTAGTCACTGTAAATTAGATCAAATTTCTGTATACACAGGGTTCCTATGGAAAAACTGGAAGTATTTAAAATGGTGAATTCCAGGCCTGAAAAACTCATGGAAATGAATAAAATCTTAAAAGCTTTTCTAGTTCATCTCTATAATACTTAATCAGCTAGAAATTTCTCTTTTGAGTGCAATTTCTGTTAAAAGAAACTACTATTCTTCATAATTATTAATATCATCAAAACTATTATATTTATTTTCATTTTTTAAATAATTATTGATTTCTAATCATCATAAAGGACAAGAACAAAAGTCATGGAAAATCACCGGTCAAAAATGCTAAGGTGTTTTCTTAAACTAAATGTTAATGGAAATTGTTTTCCCATTTTTGACCAAAAATACCTGATATGTTGAAACATGTATGAGCAATCAATATCCTGTGATGAGTCATGCTAAATGTTTGCTTCTCATTTCATCATTCTATCATCAGTTTGCTTGGGTAGATGATGAAGCTTTTCACTCTAAATCAATTACAGATTAAAAAACAAAAAACAGCATCATGCTGTTTCATAACAGAGGTTTTTTGCTTTTATTAACAAATGCGCTGAGGAAAAATGGTGTTGCACTTGTACTCTCTTGTGCACAAAGAGCCACAACAGCACAGCACATGTCAGTGGAGCCACTGGCACACAGCAACACACTGAAGAAACAATCCAATGCCACATTATACAAGAAATACATGATATAGTGAACACTCTCTGAACTGCATGGAGTTCACAACTTATCGTACAGTGAATTTTATCTTCTGCTGGTGACAAAAAGTTTTCTTCTCAAACCATAAATATAGTGGAGACAAAAATCAAGTTGTTAAAATGAGGGAATGGAACCCTGAGAGTAGTGCATTCAAGGGCCTCTGGTAATATCTCTTAGGTTTCTTTGCTTATTCTGTTATGGGAACTTTGGTCTGGTCTAAGAGATCCCAATCTTGTTTATACTTTTCAAGAGTCACTTCCCTTGTAATCAGGTCCACATTGGAAAAAAATGCTGAACTTGGAAATCAAAACAGTCAGCTCACTGGCCAACTTCGCATCACGTCATTAGGCTGAAGTTGAAAAAGACAGAAATCCTTTAGCCTGAAAATATCTGAACTTACTGTATATACAAAGTATAATTATCAACCATTCAACCACATCGATTTTAACATAGTAAGGCCTAGAAATCACTCTCGTAGCAAACCATTTTATTTTTGTACTGGCAGCAAACACAAAACTAGGAAATTCAGTTCGGTTTAAAATGAAATTTCACTTCTTCAGTGTATATTGTGTTAAAGCGAGAACTGCAAGTGATATCACTTGATATGAAAAGGCAAATCACACACAGACACACACACAACTTCCTTTAAAAAAAGTCCTGAAATCAATTCACATTGTAGCAGCCTCATAGTATGCCTTGATAAAGGACGCCACCTTGAGGACAAAGAACCAAAACAGCAGTCAAATGATGAGATGGTACAATCTGACCACAACATTTTTCTTAAACACCTGGCCATGAACAAAAAGCGCATGATGACCTAAAAAACACAAAACACCACTGGAACATCTCAATAACTTCACTAAACCTGCTCACAGCAAACTGTGCAGCTGAGGGATTCTACCTTGTTGTAAAATAAATAAATACAAAAAAAGCCTTCAAGTAAAGAAAGATATAAATATCCTTAATGGTTTGCTGAAATATTTCCTCTCTTCCTCTGTCACCTGAGGTCCAGAACTGTCGTTTTCGAGTCCTTCACCACAATGTGCTTGCAAATCTGCAAACAGAAAAAACTATTTTTCACTTCTCTAAAGCTGTTTCAATTTTGATGCCAACATTTGTAACGGAAGGCACATCTAGCTGCAGATTTTCATATTTACAGCGGGAAAAGAGGGTTCTTACAGTGAACAGAGGAGGGTCTTTAGAGTGGGGGTGAAAACCTTTCAATCGGCATCCAGCCACTTCTCCCATTCCAGCACTGGTGAGGCGGAACACTCCCGTGCTGAAAAAGCAAAATGACACACATTTCATTGATCTCAATGATGTTTGTTTATATACATAATATCCTTTTTTTAATACAACCTTTTTATTTTTATTTTTTGGAGTATGCATAGGTATAGCATATCTATATACAGTATGTATCTATATACTTTTAATTTCTTTACTTTTTTATGTTTCGGAAATCTAGCCATTAAAAAAAACAATCAATTTAGACAAATGATAAAATATAGAATATATTTGCAAGGGGTAGTTTATTCATAGTCAGAGTTCATTCTTTGAATTTATTTACATAAAATATTTTTTTTAACAACCAGAATCCCGAAATGATTCATGGATGTTTAAATGATAAACAATTGTTAAACAATCAAACAACCATTGATAAAAAATAAATTAATCTGCATTCATTTGATGTAGTGCTTTAGAGGCTGCAGATGAAAAAAGCCTTTAGGTTGTGTGAACACATATATAAGGGTCATACTCACTCATTGTGTTTAGGTGCGCAAACAATGGCGATGGCTTCAGGTAGCATGAGCTGATAAGAGCTGTGTGTGTGCAGATCCACACTGGAGAGGAAGGCTGTCTGTGTCGGGTGTGTCTATGAGCCAAAAATGCAAATATTCAAATTAATGCCATTTAGTAGCCCCTTATACTCATACAGCTATAAAATAATTTAACCATGCAAAATGAACACCAGGGGATACTAAGAATAAAAGTTCAGTAAATTGTTAAGCAGTTTCCATGGTGATCCTCAGACTGATCCCCATCATATTTGATTATGCAAATAATAAATTAATAAAATTGAATCAGTTTTTAAGTGCATGGTCTGCCACTTATAGAAGTAGCCTATTTACATACACTACTGTTCAAAAGTTTGAAGAAGTCTCACTGCATTTATTTGATCAAAATACAGTAAATACAATAATATTTTGAATTATTATTACAAATTTAAAATAAATGTTTGAATTTGAATATATTTATTACTCCCATGATGGCAAAGCTCAATATTGGGCAGCCATTGCTCCAGTCTTCATTGTCACATGATCCCTCAGAAATCATTCTAAAAAGCTGATTTGGCGCTCAAAAAACATTTCTTATTAATATCAGTCCAAAAGAAATGTTACATAACATTATACATTTCTGCCATCCTTGCTGAATGAAACTATTAATCCCTAAAAAAAATCGTACATATCTTATTATTACTTAAAGAACATTAAGTACTTATTCAATACCATGACAAAAACTAGTAGCATAACTAATAAAGTTCAAAGATTATTACTGACAAGAACAGTCAGTAATAAAATAATTACATGTAAAATAACACTGCATAGTGTTCATTATATAAATTAAGTATAGATTAATCTTTGTTCATGCTGTATAGGCAGGTATAGCAGTCTAATGTCACTTTAAGACTGAATGCATGGATCCAACATAATAAAACACAACCGATTTCTTTCTGTTTATGTTCACTTCACTTAAAGGTGACACATCATGAAAATCTGACTTTTCCAGGTTTTAGGTGCTATAATCAGGTCCCCGATGCATCTACCAACCAAGGAAACGTGAAAAAGATTAACCCAGTAACTTTGTTTTGGTAAGCCCTTTTCTGCAAGTGTCTGAGAAAACGAGCGCGTCTGATTTCGCTCCCCTAGTGACGTTGCAAAGGTTTGGGTTACGAGTCCAACTCTCTAACCATTAGGCCACGACTTATTATACTGTATATTGCTGCTGTCACACAGATATAAAATAAACATGCGATTTATTTCTCAGCTGTTTACCTTCACAGACATAACCTACTGTTTTTCTAACTCATGTGTTTTTAACAAACTTGTGTGTGAAAGAGAACTTAGTTTAGTACTCACATGCTGTGACAGCCGCTTTCTGTCCATGTGCTTCGGTTGTGTGCGCTCAGAAAACCATATATCAGAAGTTTAAACTAATATTGTTTAAAACGCATGATTTCAGGGCGATAAACATGATAATCTGAACCAAAACAGATGTTTTTAGCAGGTACGAGCTGTAATGGCGCAGATCTATTCTGGAAAAGGGGGCGGGGAGCAGCAGCTCATTTGCATTTAAAGAGACAGGCACGAAAAACAGCATTTTTTTCTGCTTCCACTCAAAATAGGTATTTTCAAAATGATATAATAAATGATCTGTGGGGTATTTTGAGCTGACACTTCACAGACACATTCTGGGGACACCAGAGACTTACATTACATATTGTAAAAAGGGGCATAATATGTCTCCTTTAAGACATAACTGACTGTTTATAAGAATACTTTCTGAGACGGATTTCCATTCAAGCACAAGAAGGTGCGAAAGAGATCTAAATTCTGTCTGAACACTGTCTGAGATGCGGTTCTCTGAGTGCCTGCTTTGAAAGTGTGTGCACAGAAAACAGCATGGAAGTACCAATTAATAATAATTAATTAAGTTCTCTTTTGCCTCTTCTTGCACTTGAATGGTTTCAAATTGCTTGAATGTTTACACTGGCAAGACTTGCATACATCACTCTATGATGGTTCATAACTAATCTGCGAATCACAGGCATGCCGAACTGTGGGACCTGGTCTATACAGATCACAGATCAACTATGATCCGTTGAACCCCTATTTTGGAGGGTACCCTCTTATTGCTAATTAAAATCAGATTAGCCAAAATATTTACTAAACAAACACACAAGGGAAATGGGATGTGAACAATGGCTGCTCAAAATCTGTGGCGCTTTCTGCAGGCTCAGATTCTGTGTGGGCCTGAAAATTAGTCACCAGCAAGCTTTTCACCTGCCAAAGGTGTGAAAAAAAAGAGGTGCACAGTCATAATCTTGGTGTTCAGAAATTACGTGACAGTCTGAAAAAGAGAGACACCCACATGGATCCAGCCCAGGGTCAGAAGATTATGATGGTCCTGGTAACTGAACAGCTCTTCCACATTCTCCATGTCACAGTAGTCAGGACCGGCAGACTGCTTGGGGACGATCACATGGGTCAGCACAAACTCGTTGTGCGTCTGCGGGACAAAAAAACAGATTTTACTTTGTCTATTAACACACAACATATCAGGCGGTCACAGCATCCTACAATTCATTCTTTATGGAAGCTGAGCATCCTGTAAAGGATTGTGGGATTGACAAGTGAAGCAAGTGATGAAAGTGTACAAAGGGGAGAAAATCTCAGCTTGAGACAATTGCTGGGAGGAATTCAACTGCTGCAAGATTAAGATGGATTGCAGGTGGTTGGTGAATAGGACACTAAAATTCTGTGTAATATGCTCATGAATAATGTCACTATTCCATTTGAGTTGAAAGTATGAGGAAGTTCCTAGAGTGAACACCTAGTATTTACACTGATTGTGCAACACTGAAGCTCCTAGTTTTACAGTGAATGAGAAAAGCTGCATATAACTAGCCAAAAAAAAGAAGCATGATTTGACCTTTAACACTACCCAAAACATATTCACACTCACTTCAGGAAAGCATCAGCAATTTCAGGAACAAAAGAATCTCACGTCCACAGAGAAGAGTTAAGCTCCAGCTGAGGCCTTACCAGTTTTCCACAGAGAACTCCACATGTCTCAATTCCTCTCGCCGTGTTACTGTCAGCCAGCAGAAGGAACCTGTAAGTCAGGTCTCGTGCGATTAAAACCCGCCTCAGGCCTTCGACACGCTGATCTAGAAACACACAGCATAAAACAACATATTGTAGTTCTGCTAATAACACAAGCAAAGGATAATGTACAGTGAGACAGGTATTATTGCAAAATAAACCCCTTCAGAGTCAATAGAAGCTTTCTAGAATTTTGAACGTGTTTATTTCGTGATAACGACTCTGACTGTACATTATCCTACGTATTGTGTCTGTATGGCTGTTCAATATTAATCTTTTTATTCAGCCAGGGTACATTAAATAGATCAAAGGTGACAGTAAAGACATATACAACATTTGAACTTTCTATTCATCAAAGAATCCTGAAAAAATGTACCACAGTTTCCATAAAAGTATTAAACAGTACAACTGTTTTCTACATTGATAATAATGAAAAATGTTTCTTGAGCACCAAATCAGCCTATTAGAATGAATTTCTGATGAATCATGTGACACTAACTAAAGACTGAAAGTAAAGCTTTGCTATCACAGAAATAAATTACATTTTAAAACATATTAAAATAAAATAAAAAGTCCTTTCAAATTGCAATAATATTTCATAATATTACTCTTTTTACTGTATTTTGATCAAATAAAGGCAGTCTTGGTGAGCGTGAGAAGTTCTACGTTCTTTCAAAAACATGAAAACATTTTACCCCAAACTTTTAAATGGCAGTGTAAATAAGTGAACATGAATTATTCGATTAAATGAGAACAATAGCAACATGCAGTTTAACAATTAATGTATAAAAAACTGAATAATCAGAGAGCTGTGTATTAAATCACTACAATTACTAACAGGCAAATATGAGCTAGATGAGGGCACTCACTTTGTACAGCTGCTAAGGTGGCTGCCGGTTTGGGGATGGAGGCCGCTGGTTTGTTACGATTGGGGTCAAGGCGCACATGGTTTCTCGGGATCTGGGATAAGCAGGACCCATCAGTTTGTTCAGGCACTTTGGGAACAGTCTCATCTCTGTGACTGGCCAACTCTTGTCTATGCAGTTGGTCCTCAAAGTAGCGGAACTGCTCAGACTCAATTTGCATCTTCCTGAGCTGTGCTACACGTTGCCGTTCCTCCTCCAACAGAGACATCTTCTGCAGTCGTTCACTACACATATCAACAGCCATGGCTTGAGTCTGCAAAAATATTCACACATCATGACTAATATTCACAATAATGAAATGAATCTGAAATTTGACTAACAGGTATTTCATCAGCAGTGAATGAGAAGTACTCTGACGAATGTACCTGACTCTTCAGATATTCACTGTGTTCTTTGCTGTATTTCTCATGGAGAAGTCTCTTCAGTTGGTCCTTTCGTGGAAAGGCCACTTCCTGCAATTTCTGAACATAATGAACAGATAATGGGACAAACATTAGGGGTTGTGTTACAGACAGCGAGTACCAGATCAATATGCGCTAAAGCTTTCATGGACATAATTATTTTTTTAAAAGCAGGGAATAGAGACACAAACCAATTACTCATCTTTTTTTTTTTTTTTAATTCAGGGACCAGCAGCAGACATTAAGATCATTAGGTTAAAGACAAAGTTTTGTGGCTTTTAGTCACTGTCTGCTAGCACTGAGGCTATTTACAGTATATGTCAGTGGATGAAACCTTTAGAAGATATTCAGTAAAATTTAAACTATTGTCTTCCAAAAAACTAACCAAAAATATTGATCTCTCACGTTGCACTACAAATGCTGGTTAAAAAACAAAACCTCTATAGCAATACCACAGTGGGAATGCCTCTGTAGCAATATCAATAACAATGCCATCGACTAGCAATAGCAATTAGCAAATCATGGTTAATAACTTTGACATAAACCTCAGACTATTAGTTTTAAAAAAGGACAAAATCATTGATATGTCACATCCTAACTTTTCCATTTTTTTAAATACTTTGAGGCACAAAAAATTAATGAAAAAAATGCATTAAAACATCCATAATAAAATAAAAATACAGTTTAAATCAGACGTTTGTCTCTTAAACAATGATTGATAAATCAGGACACTAGGAAGAACCTTTTGACTTAAGTCAGTTTCATGTCACTATGTTGAAATGAAAGCAGAACACGAGTCCACACAAGGCAAACCCACAATGTGAGCAGCTGGGAGCCTGACAAGTCCTCTAGCCAAGGTAATTGAAAATGATGCTAATTAGATTTACAGTGGGCCGGGCGCAACAGGGCTCCATCAGTTCCTGAGAGTAACATGCCAGGGGCTTACCTTCATTATTACTTGCTTCTCAGGGACGTTGCACTGCTGATAGTCCCTGTGACTGGGGAGTTTCTCAACAAATAAACTGCGCAAGAGTGAAATAGGAAAATAAAGCTGAAGGCTGATTGCCATGAATTAGAGAAAACATTTTATGACAGCTGTGAAGACAAAACAAAACAAAAATGGCCCAAGATGCTGGGAAAGACTCCATCATCCCTGTGACCTTAAATACTGTAGGACAAGCGATAAGATGCGATAAGATAAGATTAAATAAACATACGTGATAAACTTGTTGTAGAGGACAAAGGCATTCTCCAGACTGCCCTCCTCTAGATAAACTGCTGCCATACGCTCCATCTCAACACCAGAGCGGAAGTAGCGTCTCGGGGCGATGTCTTCATTTATTTCAATGTTATAGCCCATTTTGCTGAGGGCCCGCACGCGTTCCACCGCTGGCAGAGTGACGTCAGTGTGATCTGGCTCTGCAGCTAACTTCTTCTGCAAACGGAGAGGACAGCAAAAACCATGTGAATACAGTGCAGTGGCACACAGGGTACCCTCTGCAAACCATGAGACCATGATGACAGTGCGCAAGAGTTTTATCAGCTACGAAATATTACTGCTGATAAAGACATACAGTGATGTAATTTTGGACAATTTATCCCTCTTTTTTCAATACCTTTTTCCTTTAGCCTATTTTGTGTGCTTAAAGGAATAGTTTACCTAAAAAATTTTAATTCTGTCATTAATTACTCACCCTCATGTCATTCCAAACCCATAAGATCTTTGCTCATCTTCGGAAAACAAATTAAGATATTTTTGATGAAATTCGAGTGCTTTCTGACCCTGCATAGACAGAAGCGCAACTGACACGTTTCAAGGCCCAGAAAGGTAGTACGGACATCTTTAAAATAGTCCATGTGACATCAATGATTCAACCTTAATTCCATGAAGCTATGATAATAATTTTTGTGTGCAAAGAAAACAAAAATAAACATTTATTCAACAATTTCTTCTCTTCCATATGAGTCTTCTACTACGACATATGCGTGTGATGCTGCTGACACAGGAGCCGGCTTTCTGACGTAGAACCCGGATGCACTGCGCCTTGATTACAAGCAGAGAAATGCATCGTGGTACTCTTGTGAACAATGTCCTTACTACCTTTCTGGGCCTTGAACGTGTCAGTTGCGCTGCTGTCTATGTAGGGTCAGAAAGCTCTCAAATTTCATCAAAAATATCTTAATTTGTGTTCCGAAGATGAACAAAGGTTTACGGGTTTGGAACGACATGAAGGGTGAGTAATTAATGACGTAGTAATGAGTAATGGGTGAACTATCCCTTCAAATATTTCCTGCTCATTTTAAAAGTGTCAATCTGACGAGCTACATTATAGCTCTGCCAAATAAAATTGCTCTAGAATAGGCAAACTGAATTAGGATTGGTCCCCATACACCAGTGGCATAGAGCATTTGGTCCCAAAGATATCACAGGCCTCCGATAAACACAACATAAGCTCTGTTCATCACCCAGCTTAGGCGAACCGGAACACCCAGCAGCACCCACGCCGAGTTCGCTTCCAGCTCTCATACTAATGACTAAACAGAGCCTCTGTTTTAGGGTCATTGAAAAGAGTGGGCGTCTTATCAACATGCAGCAGGACACTGATGGACTCCAAAAGGGCCTGCCGAGCTGTTACACTTGTTGGACATGACAGATTGCTTGACTTTTGAACAGCACATGCACAAAAATCTGTGAACTGTGAATGTAAGCCAAATTAAATGTCTCTGTACTATTGCTGGAGAATAGCACTCTGGGTGGCCAGAATACAGAATAAATGTTTGATCATGCATTCACAAATAGGGGAAACAAAGTGTGAAGGGGGTTACATCCGTTACTTCCCTCTCGCCCACTCCAGGATGGAGGGATCTGAATGACGGAGCAGCTGCAATGGGAATACTAATTGCAGTGAGTCAGAGGAAGCCTTTCTGTCCCTGTGACCCACCTCCGAGTAATATCAGCTGTCCCCCACCACCCTCCTCCTCCTCCTCCTCCCACAACGCCACTCACCAGTGTGCTGAAACTGAAGCCCTGGTCCATGGTGAGTTTACAACGCTGGCTGGCAGGCTTCGATCCTCCCTATGCATCCATCTGTCATCTCCCAAGATGATTCCAAGCTGAGGAGCAAGAAACATCATATCTGGCATCACAGCAGTTCTATTAAGAGGCCACTGGGTCGATACAGCCTTTCTTTTCAGTTACTCAACACTATCTTAGGCTACAACTCTACGCTGTAGAATTCCTAGCGTATTCTTCCTAATCTATTAACACGGTTACCATGCCCTGTGCATTTTCATGGGGATTATCAAATATAATTCAGCATCTCTGTCCAAATAACACGGTTATTCGTTCCAGAATCTGTGCTACAGTTGCTATGACAGCTTGTTACCATGCAGCAAAATACGGTGACTCATGGATATCTTCAGCTGTGAAAAAAAAA